TAAGCCTTTGAATGAAAACCCTGAGTTAAAAATAATGTCCCCTTCCACTTTGGCCGAAGTCTGGCTCTGTAATCACAAGTTTTGGAAGGCAGTCTAGCACAATTTTCTAAGCTGGTAATTAAAACTTTCTTTGCAATTTCTGGATCCCTGACATAGAAAACATCTTCACCACAGGCAGAATGAGGAGCCAATAACTGTCCTCTTGATGCCCAATCTGACCTGAAGTAGATTTTATACCAACACTCAAGATCTTCCTGCTTCCAAGACAAGGGTCATTCTCCTGTACTTATAGTGTTGGTTCCCAATAAAAGCTTATCTTGGCAAATTCTTGCTACTACAAGGAGGCAGCATTTAGTCACATTGTGTAGGCCTTATACTCATCACTATGCATTTGTGCTTGTGGGATAAATGTGGCATTTTTTGAGGGCCGTGGGTTTCCACAACAACCTTACAAAGAAACTGTTTTACAAATGGTAACTAGACCAGTCTTTTCTGCAAAAATGAAGTGAGAACACAGAATTAAAGGATTGCATATTTAAAGCTGGGAAGGGCCTTAGCAGCCATCTTGTTCAACCCCCATATTTTACATGTAACCTGGGTTTGTCTGGGCCTGTCTAGATCATCAAACACGAATGTGACCCGAGAAGACTTTGGAGCTTGGCCAGATTACCTAACATGGAAGCCTCTGCATCCTCTACAATATAGGTGGGGGTAGCCTCTGTTGATTGGCTGCTTTCAAGTTTAAAACTGGCTAAACTGACCTGTTTGCTCTCTGACTCTCAGAGTCAAGATCCCAGTTCACCCACAGCACAAAAGCCATGAACTGAACCAATGAGAGGGGAAGGATTTCCTTCCCCTGCTCTCCCTCTTTTAGCCCAGGTCTGAGAAATGGGCTTGGAGATGTTTCTGTTCTGCATTGTTTGTCCTCAATTTCAGGTGCCAGAGGTGATCCCCATGGGACTGGATTCAAGCCATGGTAACCTTGGAACTAGGATTGCCGGTGGTATGGAGCAGCCAGCCAGTCTGTCACAGAAGCTCTGACAAGCCAGAGTTTTGGGGGCACTTGAGCCCAGGGGTGGTTTTGGACTTGAAACTGGGACTGTGAACTATAGGCTATTAGGATATGAACCTAATCTCCTTCCCACCCCCTCACCCCCTACCCAGAACCCGCTTCCCTCCAGACTGAGGTACAATGTACATGCCTCCCAAGTGCTGGGGGAATAAGTTTGTACATTTGTGATTATATTTTTTGGAATAAATATTTCCTTGTAAGAGTTAATCTGACTGTTAGTGGCTAAATGGACTTGGAGTGCAGGGGACCCCTCTTATACTTGGGAAACACCCCATCAATGAGAGGTTGGAGCCATTCACAAAGAGCTTAGACATCCCTTAAACTCCTTAAAGGTATCAGAGAATCCTGGGGTTGGGGTGAAATCTAACCTACCTGGCCTTCTTGGCAGTGAGGGCCACGGTCATTTGTGTCAGGAAACCAAGGCCTGGAGAGGCTATGAATTGCCTAAGCTAAACAAAGCTTGTAAGTAAAACAGCTGAAATTCAGTCTCAGGTGAAATGATAGCTATAACATGTTCTCAAAGTCAAGAAGACTGGAGTTCAAATCCTGCCTTAAACATTTACTAGCTGTGTAACCATAGGCAAGTCACTTAACTTTTTTCCTAATCTGTAAAATGAGGATAATACTAACCCCTAACTCAGAGGGTAATCATGAGGATCAAATAAGCTAATATATATATAAAATACTTTGCAAACCTTAAAGTGCTATATAAATGATAGCTAGCAGTAATAGTAGTAGTAGTAGTAGTAGTAGCAGCAGCAGCAGCAACAGCAGTATCACCATCCAAGTTCCCCTCTCTCTCCAAGATACAACATGTTTATCTAAACTAATGTTTAACAATGTTTGGCTTCAACAAACATAGGTACTCCAGATCCCTAAGGGATCTTTAACTCCTTCATGTCTCTTTTCCCTTCACCCCTTCTAGTTAGTTACTAAGGTCTTTCCTTTCCTCTTCCTTAGCAACTATCATATCTATATCCCAATTTCTAATTCCCTTACCATTTGCACCTAGGGTCAGGTCATCATTATCGCTGGCCTGGAATAATGCAACAGTCTCCTAATTTCCCTTGGCATCCCCAACCTCTCTCCTAAAATCTTGCCTGTTGTTTATGGCTGTGTGAGTTGGGGTAAGCCACTTAACCATCCTTGTCCTTCCAGTCTCCTTAACTATAAAATAAAGGGGTTGGACTACCTGACCTCTGACCCCATGATCCCACTCCTACACGTTCCTGCCAAATTTCTGAATGAATTACTTTTCCCTTAAAAGCCTTCAATGTCTATTGCCTACTGAAGAAAGTTTAAACCCATAACATTCAACATCCCGCACCCCAATCTGGCTCCATCCATCGATGCATCATGGTATAATGTAAAGAGCACTGATTAGAGTTAGGGGGAGCTGGATTGGAATCTTGGTTGTGCTGCTTTCTATTTATATGAACTTAGGCAAATTTGAGGGCCTCAGTTTCTTGCAGAATGAAGGGGCAGAACTGAATGAACTCTGAAGTTTAATGAGGTGGTACAGAAGATGGAGCATTGGGCCTGGATTCAGGAAGACCTGAGCTCAAATATGACCTCAGACACTTGCTAACTGTGTGACTCTGGGCAAATCACTTAATCCATTTGCCTCAATTACCTTAACTGTAAAAGGAGATAATAACAGCACCTACTTGGAAGGATTATTGTGAGGATCAAGTGAGATGATATTTGTAAAGTGCTTAGCACAATGCCTGGCACACAGTAAACTCCTTCCTCCCTTTCTGAATGTGTATGTATGCAAATATATTACAAATCCTTTTTCTAGGATAGCCCATTTAAAGCATGTTGTCTATACTGGGGGTTATATATATAGAGAGTATAGGCAAAGATGGCAGGATTATTGGCTCTGATTTTTGGGTTTCGGCTCAGTCTTTACCAAACCCATCTGACATTGATTTCTTGACTGACTCTTTCTCTCTATCTCTCTCTCTCTCTCTCTCTCTCTCTCTCTCTCTCTCTCTCTCTGTGTAAAGCTGGAAGTTATTTCAAGTTATTTCAAGCTTATTTCAAGCTTTACTCCCTATTTAGAAAGAGGCAAATAGTGTCACAAAATTGTAAAGCTGGTGAAGTTTGGATTCAGGGTTCCTTAGCTCCCTTCTTTGTCTTCCTCTACTGTGGCTAGGGATAATCTCCCAAATTTACAAGAACTAAAGCATTTGTAGTATTAACGACAGACAATACCTTCCTGTTACTCCTGCCTGAATACAATTTACATTTTAACAAGGGCTTTCAATGCTTACACTCAAAGATACTAATTTGTGTAGGAATTTCCAAAAGGTTAATGAATCAGATAGTTTTGAATGAAGTGCCTTCTCTAACTCTCCTAAAGTAGAAATATGCTAGAGCCAGCTCTGACCAGATGATGAGAGTTGATTGTTAAATTTTCAGTATGCTGGCAAAATGTTAATAATGCAAATTAACCTTGAAAGTGGGTCCAGTATACTCCCCACCTCCTACCTAGTTGTTGTTAAGTATTTACCACCCTGCTTCTCTGTGTAGTTGAGATTTAAAGTTAGGTCTATCTCACTTCAAAGTCAGTGTTCTTTCTACCATTCTACATTGCCTTACTAGAGGCTGAATATGAGGTGGCCAGATTCCCTAAGTTCTTGTATAGGCATAGAAGAAAACCCTTCTTCCCTTATTCTATTTGAAATATGCTGAAGTTAAAAATAAAGCATTATTGGGTAAATAAGAGGGAAGACATGATCAAAAGAAAGTACAAAGCTTTACAAAGGAATAGAGTTCTTTATCCATTTACACCCTGTCCAATCTTGCCTGGGACCCTGCAAGTGCTGGAATAGAAGGTATCATTCTAATAGATCTCAGATATGCGGAATACTCCATATTGGAGAGTAAGGAAATTCTTACAGAGAGTTCATAGATGAAGAGATCAAAGGAACCTCATAAGTCATAGAATAAACAGAGACCCAGAGAGGTTAGTAATTTGCCCAGTCACAAAGGTAATATGCACCAGAGGCAAAATCTGAACCCAGCTCCTCTGACTATAAGGCCAATGATCTTATCACTGTAACATAATCGAGGCTCAGTTTTGTTGTCCCCCTCCCCACATTATAGATATTCATAATTGGTGGCAGGTGGTTAAAAAAAAATCCTAGTTCAATAAAACAGTAGAACAGATAAAATCCCAGGTGGTATTAGTTTGGCCCATTTTCTAAGACTGTTTCAAGATTATTTGGGTGTTTCAACAAATAAACCCTCTGGGATGGAGCCTGAGATAGATTTGTCTTTCACTGAATTATACTTCAGAGAGAACAGTATTCCCTTTACTGAAGTCCTATTACAACGTATCATCATGGCCTGGAGAGGATTCTAGAGTCTTGAAGGCTATACCAACAGGGCATAAGGTCTGGTAGGCCCCACCAAGCTAAAACACTCCCCCACCCAGGATGAGCCTAATGGTATCTCTGTTGTCTGAGGACCAATCTAGTGAACCCTAAAGGGGCACATCTTCAGACTGCCTATTAGGAGATGTGCATGTGTACATAGATACATATATGGATATATGAATTTCTATATGAAATGTATATCTAGACATGCATAAACACCCATTATATATAATATATGTAGGCCATAACGATCTAAAGATTAGATTCTATTACAGCACAGAGGAGTAACAATTCACTCATCAGCGCAGGTGATCACACCACTGAGCTCATATGTCGTCCTCTCAAGCACTGAAGTAAATGAACAGTGACAATATATGAAAATACGGTTCAAGGGCATTCTTCTCTGTCATTATCCAATGTTAATGTCTCATGATGTTGATTGACAGAAAGCCTAGGTAAATATTTAGTGTTTGGAGATCATTCGGATTTAGTAAGAATATAGCATCTTTGGTAGGCAGAGGAGTTTCTAAGGCTATGGTACTTACCTTTCTCTAGGAGAGGAGGCAGAAGGGCAGATGGGCACACAGTAGGAGCATCATTCTGAACCACTGAAAGGAAGAAAACAGAAAGTGTTTTAGTAAAATGGTTGAAAGATTTCATTGTCCCCCCTCCCATTATCAGGAGCGTTTTAGCACTGAGTAAACATTTTTGGCCGTAACAGATGAAAGAACTTGTTTTTACTAAGGCACAGAGGAGTAACAAGCCATAGGCGAGTTGAATGAATGTCAGTTTAGATCTTTAAGATGTAAGAGGGATGTCCCAAACCCGAAACCCCAGTTAATGTAACTAGCAAGATGCTCTACACCTTGATAGCTTTATCAGTTGAGAATGCCTCTTTGATTGAGTTACAGAATCATTCACTCAGTCAAAGGTATAAACTAGTTGCAAATAATTCCCAGGTACCTTGGTTGAATCAGTCAATCAAAGGGATAAACAATTCCTGGGTACTTTTGTTGATTCAATCAAAGGTAAGAACTAGGTAGGAATTGAATAAAGTCAGATTAAGACACATAGGACATATGTTTTGGTTGGCTGAAGAAAGTCTCTCAAGGTCTGCACATATAAGCACACTAGCATTATTCATCTGACATGAATAGGATAATGTACTATCATTAGAATATTTTTTTTTCCTTACTAGAGCTGACTTTTATTGAGTGAGCCACTGTCTTCCCCATCTCTCCTTGTGTTTATAAGTTGGATGGTCAGGCATGAGATGTATTTAAATCTACAACTGCCCCAATTATTTCCCACTGGGTTGATAGGATCCTGTGAATCTCTCCATAATACCTAGTTCTCTCCTTTACTTGTGAGACAAGACAGGGAGTAGTTGGGGCTTAATTTACTCAGGAATTATTCTGATTAGCCCTTAGAGTGAATTTTCAGGTTGTGAGTTTTGAGGCCATGTGTGTTAAAAAAAGGGGAGGTTAAAACACTAACTTGGTAGCTTGCCTGAATGCCTCAGCAAATACTAAGGGGCACCCAGGTGGCACAGTGGATAGAGAGCCAGGCCTGGATCAGGATAAATACTTATTAGCTGTGTGACTCTGGGCAAGTCACTTCACCCTGTTTGCCTCAGCTTCCCTATCTGTAAAAATAAGCTGGAGAAAGAAATGGAAAACCACTCCAGTATTTTTGCCAAGAAAATCCCAAGTGTGGTCATGGAAAATTAGACACAACTGAAATACTTGAACAACGAGAATAGCACACGTATTATGATGAAAATACTATGGCAAATGCTGTGCTATGTACAAGTTTAAATAACACAGTTCCCTTCATTAGGTGATAAGATCAAGTATAGAGAAAAAACATACAAAAGTTAGGATGAGAAAATTGCATAACAGGGTTAGAGAGTGCTACAGTAACAGATGAGGGAGAAATTACTTCCTGCAAGGGGACATCAGGGGAACCTTGGTGGGGGAAGTAACATTTGAGATGGACTTTTAAATTATATCAACAACAGGAGACTTGTATGGAACAAAGTGAATGATCTGGCTTGGCTGAAATGTAGAGTACATGAAAAAGAGTAGTATTAAGATGAGACTGAAAAGGAAGGATTAGGTCAGATTGTAGAGGACGTTTTCAGTGACAGTCTCAGGCAGCTTTGCCTTTATTCAGTGAGTAATGGGGCACCATTAACAGTTTTCAAATAGTGGAGTGATATTTTTTTTTTCCCAAAGAAGACCAATCTGGCAATTGCATCTTAGGTAGAAAGGCAGGGGAACAAAGTTGAAAATGGGTGGTTAAAAGGCTTTTTAAAGGCCTGCTATTTGAGGCTAGCATGGTTTGATTCCAATCCTTCTGGAGGATGAGAGTATAAAATAGAAATCCTTGTCAAGAATTTTCCATCTTATCATTCTATCAGTCTCCACTAATGGCTTCCTCCAATTGGGGAATTTGGAGTTCTCTATGATAATGTCATAGACTTATGCTTTAGGAATATCCCTTTGGCAGTTAAGTGAAGGATGAATTTAAGGAAAGAGAAAATTGAGGCAGAGAAACCAATTAGAGGGCTATGGTAATCATCCAGGAGAGAGGTGATGATAGTCTAAATTAGAGAATAGACCAGGTAAATGTAGAGGAGTAATAAAGCCAGAAATATGGAGGTAGGATTGGTAAGACTTCACAAGTGACTGGATGTAGGAGGTGAGGATGTATCTGAGGAGTAAAGATAAGAGTTGACCCTAAGGTTGTGAACCTTGGCAATGAGAAGGATGTTGGTAACTTTAACAGAAACAAAGAAGTTGGGAAGAAGGGTGGGCTTTGGAAAGACAACAAGTTCTGTTTTGGACATTCTAAGTTGGGTATCCATTTGTAAATGTCTAATAGAGAATCAGTGATGCCAGACTGGAGCTTGGGAGAAAGACTAGGTAGAAGGACAGATAGATAGACAGACAGACAGACAGATAGATACATTGATACATAGATGGATGGACAGATAGGGGACTCTTCTGCATAGTTTACAATCATCTGCAATTATCATTGAACCTAATGGGATCTGATGAAGTTACCAAGAGACAAATATTGTAGAGATAAAATAGAAGAGGGCTGAGAACAGAAGCTTGGGGGGGGTACACCCCCAGTTAGGGTCTATAACATGGATGATGATCTTGCAGTGGAGGCTGACAAAGAATAGTTAGACACATAGAACTGAGAGAGAGGCATCATGAAAATCAGAGAGGAAAAGGTTTCCAGGAAGGGAAGGTGGTCAACAATGTCAAATGTTATAGAGAAGTCAAGAAGGGAAAAGATTGAGAAAAGGCTATTAGATTTGGCAATTAAGAGATCATTGGTAACTTTGGAGAGAATGGAGAGAATGGTGGAGTAGTAAAGTGGAAATACCACCTCTTGTTAAGTGATAAACCAATTTGCAATGGATTGAGAAGTGAGAGGAAAGTAACTCTGATGAGTATAAAGCTAACGATGAGCTGGTGGCTTGAGGCAGCTGGTGGCTCAGTGAATAAAGCGCTGGGCCTGGAGTCAGGAAAACCTGAGTTCAAATCCAACCTCAGAAACTTATTAGCTCTGTGATTCTGAGCAAGTCACCTAACTTCTCTCTGCCTTAATTCACTGGAGAAGGAAGTGGCAAACCACCCCGGTTATTCTTTGCCAAGAAAGCCCCGTAGACAGTCTGGTGCACTGGGTCACAGAGTCAGACACAGCTGAACAACAACAGGCAAGGTTATAAGACAGGCTCATCACCCACCAATTATGAATGTTTATTGAATACATGAATAAGGGTGCTTAGCAAAAGCAAGTTGAGAGATTATTGGCCCTTTCTAGAAACCAAAATTTTCTACTTAAAACAGTTTTTACTTAAAAACCAAATGCAGTGCCTCAATTCTAGCTAACACACAGCTGCAGGTTGAATGAGCTTAGTTCCAACCTTCAAAGGGCAGACAATCCCTAACCCATTGATGTCGGAAGAATTTCAGCATTTTTCCACCACAAAAGCCACTCTTCACATTTCTATTGTGTCTTCACTTTAGTGCCGTGAACTTTGAGAACGTTTCCCTTCCTAGTTCTCACAGTTTGGGGGCACACCTGCAGAGTGACTGACTTGGGTGGGAGAGGGTTCTGAAAATACCTTCATTTGCATGAATTTTTGTTCAGCCTTGCTCCTCTGTCTTTGGTAAAGTTCCAGGGCCAACTAAGGCTTCCTGTTGTCCTTCAGCCAGCAAAAAACAGACTGCCTCTAGAAAGGCAGCATGGTGGAACAGAAAAAAACACTGGATTTGGAATCAGGACCTGCGTTCGAATTCTGATTTCCCTATCTGTGTGAACCTGGAAAATCACTTTACTTTTTAGGGACTCAGTTTTCCTTGTCTAAAAAAATAACAGTTGGACCTCCCTAAAGTCTTTTGTAGATTTAAACTTCTTATTCAGACTCTCTTTGGCTTAAGATCCAAGTGTTCTTTATTTTTTTTATTCTTTCTTCTCTCCTCTCTCATTTTGCATTCATTCACCAGGTAATTACTATATGCATAGGACTAGGTACAAAACCAAAACTGTCCCTGCCCTCAAGGAGCTTGCATTCTGTGGAGGGACTTACATTCTATTTTTTGCTCATTCTCCTTGACCTGCTCGAGAGGCCTTCGCCTTCCTTCTTTACCTCTCCACATTCTCCTACTTGGCCCCTCGGACCCAACACAAATCTTACTTCCCCAAAAAAGCACATTATAATATCTAGAGCTGGCATGAGTCCCAGATGAAATCTGGTTCAATTTCCTTCTTTTATAGATGAAGAGACTAAGACAAAAAGAAATTTAATAATGTGACTGATGTCATACAGGTAATAAAGTAGAAAGGATAGAATTCAAAATTGCTTCCTCTGGTTTTGATCTGTCCACTATACCATGCTGCCTTTCACTGGAATCGTAATCAGAAGGAAGGAAAGAAGGAAATAAACATTTATTAACCGCCTTCTATGAGTTAAATATTGTGTTAAGGACCTTACAAATATCTCATTTAATCCTCACAACAACCCAGGGAGTTATTATTATTATGGGAACTATTATTCCCATTTTACAATTGAGGAAACTGAGGCAGATAGAAGTTAAGTAACTTGCCCAGGTAGTAAATAACTGAGTCTGCATTTGAACTCAGGTCTTCCTAACTTCATGCCTAGCTCTCTATTCATTGTACCACTTAGGGCAAAGGACCTGGGTTTGAAACCTGCCTCTGCTATATACTATCTGTGTGACCTTGGGCAAGCTATCTGACCTCCATGTACTTCAGTTTCTTGTCTGTTGCATAAGCACCCTCTCATTTTACATATAAAGAAACTGAGGCCCACAGAGATGAAATTACTTTTCTAAGATCATATGGCTAATAACTGTTGCATTCAGTTACCGAAGCCAAGTTTGAGAGATTTTTCACAATGGGAAGACTAGTGTCTCTCAGTGTTCAAAGATCCCATGGATTTTGTGAAGGTGGAAATCACAAGGTACTCACATGGAACTTTCCCATCCCTGCCCACACTGTTCCCATCCATGGCCTTATTGCCCCAGCCTGACCCGATAGAGAACATTCTGTTAAAGCAGCAGTTACATAGAACGGAATGAAAGAGAACACTTCTAGGTGTCCATTTGATAGTGGGTACAGGGAGCATCTCGGACAGGCTTTTGGCAAGTCTTGCTGAGCTGATGTAATGTCTTGGTTTGATTTCTCCTTCCTATCATAGCCTTTTCTCCCTCCCTTCCACCCACACATCCTACTGAGCAGGTCTGAGCTAAGTCACTCTTTTTGCAGATAGGATTTTTTTTTTTTGGGTGAGGCAATTGGGGTTAAGGTACTTGCCCAGGGTCACACAGCTAATAAGTGTTATGTATCTGAGGCTGAATTTGAACTCAGGTCCTGTTGACTTCAGGGCCGGTGCTCTATCCACTGTGCCACCTAGCTGCCCCCATGAAGATAGGATTTCACCTGGCTATTTTCTATGCAAACTCAGAATGAAAAAAAAAAAGAAGAAAAAAAAAACTTTGAAACACAGCATAAAGAAATGTCAAGTCCAGGTTAGGAAAAAATGCCAATAAGAAGATACAAAGGGTTTAGAACTAGAAGGGACCTTAAAAATCATCTTGTTCAGGTTCTTCATTTTACAGGTTAGAGAACAGAGGCTAGAATTATATAGAGGAAGTAAGTAAAAGAGCTAGAATTTGGATATTGGTCATTTGACTCTTGACTCAGGGTTCTTACCACTATTCTAGGCTCCCTCTGGGCAAATAGAGGTCCGATGAGCCTAAACTAGTGTGGTCTAGCCTAATCTTCTAGTCTACATTATTCTAAAGAAATTATTTTTTTCTCCTCATTTCAATGAGTAAAGGCAAGGTGGGGGGTGGGAAATCTATAAATGGAACATTCTTCGGACCACCCCCAGCCTCCCACTGAGATCATCTAATTACATAGGCCAAGTCTTCTTTGTCTAAAATAATTTGAGACTGCAAGAAAAAGAATCCAGCTCAGTCTGAAGGGCTGTGTGCAAAGGATGACCACCTGCAGTCCAAGCCCTCTGAGCTTGACAAATTTTAACTCTGAAACATGCATGCACACACAGCTGATACTGCCTTCCTCTGAGATTTTCTTCCATCTAGTCTGTATAGATCATGTATGTAACTAGCTATTTATATATTGTCTCCCCCACCAGAATGTAAGCTCCTTGAAGGCAGGGACTGTTTTTGCCTTTCTTTGTATTCTCAGCAACTGGAACAGTGTCTAACATGAAGTAAGGACTTAATAAATTCTTGTTGATTGACTGTTTCACATATACACACATGCACACACATACATGCACAAAGAGAAGAAAGCAAAGACCTCATTGAACCCCTAATCAGCCCAATGAAAGGCCTAATTTTATACAGGAAGTTTTGGCTTCTTGGGCCATGTTGAAAAGTCATACTGAATCTACAAGGTGTATTCCAACTAAATAACTTGGCAGCTATAAAAAACCAATCATATATGAGGTAGGAGGGACAGAGAAAGAGGGGAAGCAAAAGCCAGATCTCCAGGTACTGCCACATGCACATAAGGAAAACCATTTTTGCAATTTCCAAAAAAGGGCACTTAGAAAGACCATGCTATGTATTAGGCATCAAGGGATACAAAAATCAATGAGACAGTCTCTGTTCTTAAATATGGTGTGATAAGACACACACGCACACACACACACACAACATAGGGTTAACAATTCCTGCAGTGTCTAACTCATTAGACTATAATAATAATCAAATCAGTTAATATTCATGAAGTTCATTTCTGACATTGTAGAAAGACATTGGATTTAGAGTTAGAACACCAAAGCTAGTTCTGACATTTTTTTACTTGCCTGACCTTGGGCAAGTCACTTCTCTCTGAACCTCAGTTTCCTCATCTGTAAAATGAGGAAGTTGGATGAGGTAGTCTCCAGAGCAGGGGTTCTTAACCTGGAGTCCATATATACCAATAGCCACATGGATAGACTTTAGGGGGTGAAATGAAATAATATGTGTAAAGCGTTTTGTCAGCCTTAAAGTGCCATATTATTAATGTTAGGTGTTTTATATTTGGGGGTAGCTAGATGGCATGATAGATAGAATACTGGACCTGGAGTCAGGAAGACTTGAGTTCAAATCCAGCCCCAGACATTTACTAGCTGTGCAGCCCTGGGCAAGTCACTTAAACCTGTTTACCTCAGTTACCTCATTTGTAAAATGAGGATATTAATAGCACCTACCTCCCATGGTTGCAGTGAGATCAAATGAGATACTAATTGTAAAGTGCTTAGCCCAGTTCCTGGCACATATTAAGTCCTATTTAAATGCTAGCCTATTATTATTATTATTGTTGTTGTTGTTGTTGTTGTTGTTATGTCTGCCACAACAGAATATGAGTTCCATGAAGGCAGTGAGGGTTTTGATTTTTGTCTTTCTATACCCTGAGCCCAGCACATTTTCTGGTACACAGTAGGTACCGAATGCTTAGGGACTGATAGATATACTCCCTAGAGTAGAAGATATGTCTTTGCAGGGGCATCAGAAGAGACAGTTTTCAGGAAATCTGAAATAATGAGTGCTTGGGAATGATTTGGACAAGGCAGGTGGAGTTGACAGGGGAATTGAGGTGCCAAGGAGAATGGAATGAGCAGGGAAAAGAGAATCCAACAGAGGTAGCTCTTGGTGCATTTGATAAAGAGACCTTGTGTTTATCTTACTGGCCACAGATCAGTTGGCACTTTTGTAAGAGCACAGCAGTAACTAGGGCTGGGCAATCAGGGCTCTGACCTAGGACCCCAAAATTTAGAGGACACGGGCAACATTTGCAATCAATCTCTCAACAACTAGAAAAAAAATGCCATTCAGCTTCTAGTTAACAAGATTACTCAGTTCAAATAGGAAGAACACCCCATCCTGCTGCAACACCTCAGGTGAGCTCCTCTCCTTTCACCCCCTCTACCCATCTCACATTTCATTCCACTTCCCCTGGTGCAAAATTTTCAATAGTTAGGCCTCTGTGCAAAGCTGTGGGTGTTCATCTGAGCCACCTGCTACAGAGTAAACTGAAAGCTGGGATCAAGGTACCCAGACTACAGCCGTGCCTCTCCCTGCATGCTACCGGCAGGCTGAGACCCACACCGCTGCTTGTCCAAAGAAGTTACAAGGCAGTAGCAGCCAGCCTGTGTAGACTAATGATGGTCATTTCCCCCATCTTTCATAAATGCCTAGCTGAATGCTTCTATCGTATATTAGAAGTGTACTGAGTCACAGGATCATGGGATCACAGAAGCATCAAAGATGCCCTAGTCCTTGCTTTTGTGACAGGGCATCGCCATTGCCCAGGTCTGTTATTATGAGCTATGCCTTTAGCACCTCCACCAGCTTGCACAGTAGTCCTAATAAAAAAAGACTTTCTTTTCTCCTGGGGTCCCCATGAACCAAGGGAGTAAAGGGAATGCAAACACAGATAAGAAAGGAAAGCCACAAGGAAACACCTCCTGCAAAGTTACACAGTTCTTCACAAAAAGGTTCCAACTGGCCTGTTGGTTCACTACATCACAAGGGTCAGGCTGGGAACACCGGCCCAGAATCCTAGGCTAGCTCTGCTCTATTAGTTGACTACAAGCAACTGCAGGCAGCTAGGTAGTGCCACAGATAGAGAGCTGGCCTGGAGTCAAGAAGACCTGAGTTTGAATTTGGCCTCAGACATGTACTAGCTATGTGATCCTGGGCAAGTCACTTAACCCTGTTTACCTCAGTTTCCTCATCTGAAAAATGAGCTGGAGAAGGAAATGACAAATCACTCTAGTATCTCTGCCAAGAAAACCTCAAATGTGGTCACAAAGGGTCTGAAATGACTGAACAACAACAAAATATTGCAGAGGGGAAGAAGGGTTGTTGCTTTCATTATCATAAATGACAATGGTTGTTGCCTTCCTGCTCCATAGATCAATTTTCCCACCTTCTGGATTGTGTTAACACATTCATTCATTCATTCGTTCATTTGTTCGTTCATTCATTCATTCAGTGGTGCAGTGGATAGAGTGCTGGGCCTGAAGTTAGGAAGACCTTAATTCAAATCTGGCCTCAGACACTTACTGGCTGTGTGCAAGTCACTTAACCTCTGTTTGCCTCTGTCTGTCTCAGTTTCTTCACCTATAAAAAGGGAATTATAAGAGCACTTATGTCCCCAAATTGTTATGAGGCTCAAATGAGATATATTTGTGAAGTGCTTCTGGCAAATAGTAAATGCTACCTACTGTTATTATATTAAGCACTTACTGAGAGAAAAGCCCAGGCTAGGTGTCGTGGCAGGACACAAAAATAAATAACAGTCCCTACCCTCTTCTTACCATGGCCGCTGCCACCTTCCTTGTTCAGGGCAAAGGTTGGCAATGAGTTGTGAAGGAACAGGGGATTGTGCGGAACCTCAAGAATGCTTTCATGATAGAGAGATGCATGATATGGAGTTGGAAAACGTCCTAGTTGGGAAACAGTGAGTGAGATATCCGTGTTTACAGATGCTTTCTTCAGCTTTCATTATGGTTGAATCAATAACTCACCAGGGTTCTGATACCAGCCGAAGGGATATGTTTTGATTTCACTGTCAGGAGGGCTACAGTCCGAAATACGCCAGGGGCCTTTGGTTTCTTCACTGCATGTCTGGAATCCTAGATTGCCCAGAGTAAGGCACAGTACCTCTCCACCTGGCAAACAATGACCATAAGAGGAAAAAGGGTCATCATGATGACCATTTTCATTGGAGAAGAGAAAGCTCACAGACCTCTAGGAAAGAAGAAAGGGTATACAGGTAGGGTTTTGTACTAGAAAGACAAGCATTGGACTTAGGCCAGAAGACTCAGTTTCTGTCTTCTTCGCTGTATAACACTACATGCTTTGCCCTTCTGAGACTCAGTTTATTCGTCTATGAGATGGGGAGAAAAATACTTGAACTCTTTACCACATAAGTTTGTTTTGAAGGAATTACTTTGCTCCTGAAGTACAAAAGAAATACAATCTGTGATTATTCTAATTTCCTATTCATAATCTACCATCAAGTGTCCATTGAATCCAAGGAAGACAAAATGGTGGAATATTTAAGGGGACGGTGAAGAAGTTGTGCCTAAATTGAAGTCTTAGAGTTTAAATTAGGTTTGTTATGTAATTATCTGGTATCTCACAGGGATGCTTGTCACTTGGAGTGAAAAGGATTGGCTTGAACAGTTTGCACAAGATTACATTTTATAGAAAAATAACTTTGAAAGACTTTAGAAATCTGATCAATGCAAAGTAAGATAAACCATGAGTCTAAAGGACTGATGGGGAATCACGCCATCCACCTTCCGCCAGAGAAGAGATGGACTTAAAACCCAGAGTGAAAGATGTTTATTTAGACATGGCCAGTGAGGGAATTTGTTACACTGGGTTTATTGTGAGAAGTTTTTGTTTTTATTTTATTTTAATTTTCTTTTTTTTGGGGGGGGAAGAGATAACAAAAACTTATAAGTAAGCTTAAAAAAAAGAAGAAAATCAGGGCAGGTAGGTGGCACAGTGGATGGAACACGGTCCTCAGGAGGACCTGAGTTCAAATCCATCCTCAGACACATAACACTCACTAGCTGTATGACCTTGGTCAAGTCACTTAACCCCATTGCCTAGCCAAAAAAAAAAAAAGAAGAAGAAGAAGAAAATGACCTGTTCTCCACACAAGCATCCACCACATTACTAAACTGTTCCCTCACTCTATGGTGGTTGCCACCTTTGCTCTGAGCATTTGGGGCACACTGCTCTTTTATGGAAAAGACTCTTCAGTGATATCTTACTGGATCTTTTACTAAATCAAAAGATGAGGCCAGGTCAAGGGCTTGGGGTCTCTTTTCACCATGTCACAAGGGCAGCCAAACCATGTGAAGGAAAAAAATCTTTGGAAGGCCCAGGGTAGCCTACCTTCTGTCTGGGAAACATTGAGGAAGCCAAAGCCTTTGCAGCAGGGATCAGCATCACACCTTCGTTCACATTCAAAGAACCTAGAGAGGAAGGAAAAACAATCAGGTTTTTCTAATTTTGCTGTTGTTGTTATTGTTGTTTTTATTCAATGAGGAAACTCTATCAATACAGTTAGCAACTGGTCCACTGTAATACACCATGAAACTTCAGGTTTTCCTCTAGGACCCAGAAACTGTGGAACTTGATCAATCAACAAGCATTTATTGAGCACCTACTATATGCCAGGCAGACACTGGGGACATAGGCAACAGTGAAAAGTTCCCGTCCTCAAGCAGTTTACATTGGATCTGAGCCATAACTTTTATTCATTCGTTTCAGACTCTTCCTTACCCTGTTTAGGATTTTCTTGGCAGGGATAACATAGTGATTTGCCATTTCCTTCTCTAACTCATTGTACAGAAGAGAAAATTAAGGCAAATAGAGTAAAGTGACTTGCCCAGGGTGACACAGCTAATAAATGTCTGATGCCAGATTTGAACTCAGGAAGAGGAATCTTCCTGACTCCAGGCTCAGTACTCTACCTACTGAGCCAAGTAGCTGCCTGAGCCATAGCTAGGCCAGGATAAGTAAGGCTATGCCTCAGGTATTAAAAGGGGTACTTTCTCCCTAGGATCACTCATCCCACAGCAGTTACCACCCCTGCATCTCCACTGCCTTATGGTCCTCTGCCAGCCTGCCTCTGAGGTCCTGACAGTCAGGATCTCATCTTTATAATGTAACTTCATCCCAACCTAGGTAAAGATTTTTCTGGGGAATTTGATCCCCTCTCCCAGCACCTGAATTTATGATCAAATTGTAGCAGCTCTAGTCTGTATTGTCTACTCTGCTGCTGATATTGCACCTCATCTCCACCATCTTGGCATTTTTTCCTCTAGGTAAAAGAATTTCTAGTTATGCCATTAATGAACTTGATGCCCCTGGATGAACTGAATTTAAATTGGCCAGACTTTCTGAGAGCCTGCTAACTCATACCTAATCTAATTACTTGTTGGCTTGTCCTAATTCTCATTTGGGGAGTCTGGGGTCCTTCACTGTCCAAAGAGCAGAACATTGTCTTCAATGCATTTCAGCAAAGTTAGGTGCCTTCTACAGAGCAGGTGCTTAAAAAACTGTTTATTGCATCAAGTTAAGCAAAAGGATAAATGGTCAAAGGATATGAACAAGTAGTCTTCAGACAAAGAAATCCAAGCTATCTATAGCCATTTGAAAAAAGCTCTAAATCACTGTTGATTAGAGAAATGCAAGTTGAAACAACTCTAAGGCACTACCTCATACCTATCAGAAATGACAAAGGCTGGAGGGGATGAAAGGAAAATAGGTTCATTAATAAACTGGCTGCAGTAGTGAACTGGTCCAACCATTTTGGAGAACAATTTGGAACTATGTCCAAAGGGCTATAAAACTGTGCATACCCTTTGACCCAGCAATACCACTACTAGGTCTGTAACCCAAAGAGATTAAAGAAAAGGGAAGAGGACCTATACGTACAAAAATATTTATAGCAGCTCTTTTTTTGTAGGGGCAAAGAATTGGAAATCAAGGGAATGGCTGAACAAGTTATGGTAATGTGAATATGATGGAGTACTATTGTGTTATAAAAATGATGAGGGAAGCAGTTTAACTGATGCAAAGTGACATCAGAAGAATCAGAATATCACTGTGCACAGTAACAGCAATAATATAATGATGATCCACTGTGAAAGGCTTGGCTACTCTGATCAAGACAATGACACAAGATAATTCCAAAGTACTCATGATGAAAAATGCTTTCTACCTCCAGAGAGAACTGATGAGCTCCGAGTACAAACTGAAGTATAATTTTCTCACTTTATTTTTTGCTTTTAAAAATATATGGCTAATATAGAAATATGTTTTACAAGATTTCACATGTATAAATGACATATTGCTTGTCTTCTCAGTGGGTAGAGGAGGGGGTTGGAGGGATAAAGAGAACTTGGAATTTAAAATTTAAAAAGAAAAGAATTTTTAAAATAAATAATTGAAATGCTTTAAAAAGAAATGCAATTGAGAAATATTTACTAAAATAAAATACAATATAACATAAACAATTAAGCAAAAGGAAGGAGACAGGAAAGTGGGAAGTATATTCCCAGATTCATTTGTCTGGAGTATAGGATACATGCAGTGGAGCTAGATAACAAGCATTTATTAAGGAAGGGAAGGGAAAGGCAGAGGGAGGGGAAGGGAATAAGCATTTATTAAGCACCTCCTCTGCACCAGGCACTGTGCTGAGCATTTGACAACTATCTCATTTACTCCTCATAACAACTCTGGGAAGTAGGTGCTATTATTATCTCCATTTTACACTTGAGGAAACTGAGTCAGACAGAAGTTAAATGAGTTGTTCAGGGTCACATAAGCTAGGCTCTGATCTCAGCTTTTGGTTTAAGGAAAGAGATTGAGTGTTTGGGAAGTCAGGCCCAGAGCCAAAGAATCAGTGCCCTATTATATTCATGGCCTGAATGTCTGCCCAGTTGGGCAATAAGCAGTTAAAGATTATTTATCCTTTTCTTCCCCATTTAGCCAATGTGTGACCACATTCTAAGAGTTGATCTTTGTCTTACAGATCTGTTTCCACATCTTCAAAACTAGACTTAAAGCATCAGGCTATCACAAGACCATCGCTTTCTTTTATCACATGGCAAGATACCAGCTAAGGACAAGAGTAAATATGAAATCCTCAGATGGAAGGAGATTGCATGAGCTTCTACATAGCCTTATCATAGAGTTTCCTCTCCGGTGGGATCTTTGAGCTCTTAGACCTCTGCAGGCTTCTGTGATGAGGTTCATCTTCTCTCAATCAAGAAAATAAAAACCACCGGGGTAACACCTTACCCATTAGAAACAGATTTTCTTGTCATAGGCATTTTGCTCCGTACAGAAATCCCCCTCAGTACTTGGAATGGCAGGCGAGTGTAAAATGCCTTCACTCTATCTCCCAATTCAGCTGTGTAGAGGAAAAGAGGAATTATTAATATGAGGAGGAATTGTAGCACCCAGAGGAAATCTGATGTGAAAAGAAAAATAATCTAATTAAAGGGTATAGAAAGAATTTCCAAGCTTAACTCAGAAGAGGGTATTTGTACCAACCCAATAAATGGATCTGATGAGATGAAGTATATAAAATAATTTGAAAATCTTAAACACTAATAGAAAGGCCAACTCAGTTGTTGTTAAGGTTGTTAATATCAATAGCAACATCACTCTTGCTCTTCTCACTTAATATTTTGTGGAGTTCAGATAAAAACAGACCTGAGTTCATGGCTAATATGGAAAAGTGTTTTGCATGATTGTAAATGTATAATCTATAGCAAGTTGCTTACCTTCTCAAGGAGTGGGGAAGGGAAGGGAGGGAGAGAATTTCGAATTCACAATTTTAAAAATGAATGTTAAAAATTGTTTTTACATGTAATTGATGGGGGGAAACAGTCCCAGGATTGTTGAGTCTTTATCCTGCAATGTTTAATGTTTGGCAGACTGGGTAGGTAGATACAATGATTATTTTTTGTAGATGAATAAGAGGGAAGGAATAAGTATTTAAATGTACATTATGTGCCAACACTGTGCTAAGTACTTTACAAATACTATTTCATTTGACCCTCATAACAGCCCTTGGAGGTAGGTGCTATTATTATCCCCATTTGACAGAGGAGGAAACTGAATCAAACAGAGGTTCAGTGACTTGCCCAGGATTAAACAACTAATAAGTGTCTAAGGACAGATTTGAGCTCATGTCTTACTGATTACAGGCCCAGTGCTCCATCCACTATACCACTGAGCTGCTAGGAGTGTTGAGATGTAAGATCTTCTAAAGTAAGGTCTATGAAAACATCTTTGGGGCAATCCAAATTCTTTCTTAATTACTGTGTGCCATGGCTATCTGTACCAGACACTGTGCTGGGTGCTTGGGTTACAAACATAAAAAAATGAAACAATCTTCCTTCTAGCTATAATGGCATCTCTTCACATCTTAACACCCTTAAGTTTTCTTGTCTCCAAGTTACACATACACTCTTAGTTCATTCACTGGTTCCTGTCATGATAAGCAGATCCCTTACTATCCTGGTCACTTTCTTCTGGCAATTCTATAGTTTGTCAATGTCCCACTTAAAACAGAGCTTCACAACAGGTTTCATTTATGGCTTGACTGAGGCAGAGTACAACAGAACCATGATCAATCAATTGATCAATTAACGAACATTTATTGAGCGCTATGTGTCAGGCACTGTGCTAAATGTTGAGGATAGAAAAAAAGGCAAAAAAAACCCCCAAAAAAACCAGGCCCTGCCCTCAAGAAGCACACCCAGTATAGTGCCCGGCACATAGTAGGTGCTTAAGAAATGCTTGTTGAATGACTATTTACCAAGAGATAGAAAGACAATATAGGGCATCTAGGTGGATAGAGTGGATAGAGTGTCAAGCCTGAAGTCTAGAAGACTCATCTTTGTGAGTTCAAATCTGACTTCAGATATCTACTAGCTGTGTGACCCTGGGCAAGTTGCTTAACTCAGTTTGCCTTAGTTTTCTCTTCTGTAAAATGAGCTGGAGAATAAAATGGCAAACCACCTCATTATCTTTGCCAAGAAAGCCCCAAATGGGGTTACAAAGATCCAGACAGAACTGAAAAATAACTGAACAAATTAATTAATACAATTTAAGATTGTGTTACTTTAAAAAAAAAAAGCAACTCCTCATATTAGCTATTGATCCGCTGTTTTTTTTTCTTCTGTAAAAGCAGGTCTTTCATGTCATCTATTATTCTGTCCTGTCTTTTTCCTGATACTGATTCTGACATCCAGGGCCCTTACTATTCCTAGAGAGTGCAAATATTGTCATCCCATTTTATAGATGATGGATTCCATGACAACTTCAGCAGCAGACAGGTCAATAAGGACAGCACGCACCTCAATTGAGTGCTAGAAGCTCAGATTAGGTCCAATGACATGCTGACAGTCATAAATGTCTAGCAAACTTGACATGACAGATCTCACTGACATAGCATTAAAAGAGAGGCAAGATCTGATTTCTGAGAAACAAAGACAAATGATTCTGCACCAGTTTTTTGGCCCTCATGGAGAGGACCTTTGGAACCAAAAGGTAGAGTAGTTCTGTCTTGGGGCCCAATTTATTTTTTAGCATTTGAAAACTCTAGCAATAGACTCCTTAAAAATTGGTAGTTTCCTTTTTGTATTTGTACCCCCAGAAGAGCGTCTGGCACATAGCAGGCTCTTCATAAATGCTTACTGACTGATTGGTTGAGATTGCTAGTGAGGGAGCTAATTAGGAAGTGATTGATGCTCCCTTCAGGGGCAGCCAGGGTAGAAGGAGAGACCAAACACAAACGCCCAAGGGTCACAGACAGAAGAGAAACGAGGAACCCTGGAGGTCATCTACTCCAGACAGACCCCTTATTTTATAGCTGAGGAAACTGAAACCCAGAAAAGATACTGATTTAAGTATCGATTATAGACAAGGTGATACAGTCTAAAAGAATACTGGCCTCAGATGCAGGAAGGCTTGGTTTTGAATTCTGTCTCACATACTAAATAGCTGTGTGACCCCAGACACTATTATCACTTAACCTCTTTCTGCCTCAGTTTCCTGATTTGTAAGATGAGAATTAATAACAGTACCTACCTCACAGAGTGGTTGTAAAGATCAAACAAATTATGTGTTAAATCATATATTCAAATTCCTATGCAAATCTCAAACTTCTATATAAAGTGAACTAGTATTATTAGTAGTACAATTCACATGTATATAGAATTTAAATGCTAACAAAGCATTTCCCTCAAAAAACTTTAGTGATGTAGGTAGTCCTGGCACAAGTTGCTTCCCTTTACTTGACCTCAGTTTCCTCATCTGCAAAATGGGAAGAATAACATTTGCTCTGCTTGCCTCACACAGATGGGGGGACAGATCTGATAAAATTAATTATGTGAAAGTATTTTCTAAACTATAATACAAAAGTAAGTTGTTTTATATACCTTTCAGTATGATAGAGAGGTGAATTATAGGTATTATTGTAAGATTAAATTAAGGCTTTAAGTAAATTTGGAATTAAGCTCAGCTGACTGAGCTTGTTTTCACATGTGTAATGAGGGTGTGGGGTATGCTATCTCTCTGTAGCATTTCATTCTAGGGGAGCCCCCCTGACATCTTTGCTCATGGCTTTCTGGTGAAGGGAATGTCTGCAACCTTGGGAGTTTTGGAAGGTTGGGAGGGAACCATAGCCCAGACCAGGTATTACAACCTGCCTAACATCAAGTGCCTTTAGGAGCAAGGAGCAACTTAGAGAGCGGGGTGGTCTTCAGGTGCCCTGCCTCATAGAAGCTGAGATGACCAGTGACGTAGCCTTTGGAGGTGAATTTGGTGGGACTAATGAAATGCAGGAACTGGACTGAGTTAGTATCCTAATCTCCACTCCCCAAAAGAGAAATAGTATAGGGGAAATTATGCCTCCCAAGATATTGGGGAAAATGTTTATACCTTCTAAAAGCTTTGAAATAAATTTTCAGTCATTTCTTACTCTTTGTGACCCCTTTGGGGACCTTCTTGGCAAATATACTAGAATGGTTTGCCATTTCCTTCTCCACCTCATTTTACAGTTGGGGGAAAGGAGGCAACCAGGATTACGTGACTTGCCCAGGATCACAGAGCTAAGAAACATCTGAGGCTAGATTTGAACTCAGGAAGATGGGTTTTCCTGTCTCCAGGCCCAGTACTGTATCCACTGTACCACCTAGCCACCATTGTAAAAGCAATTGATTTTAAATTGTTAAATAGAACTAGGGTACTCATCACTGGTCCCCAGAAATGGAGGGACAGAGCTTGAGCAATGTTGGAAGAGAACAGAGATGCCACAAAGGGAGATGTAACCTATCTGGCTTGAGAAAGTAGGGTAAAAAATATACTACACACACACAGATGCTCAAAAGAGCATCCAGAGATAAGGTTTTCATTCCCTGCTGTTTCTGACCTGGAGAAGAAGGGCTCTCTGCCTCATTCTTCATCTAGGCCCTTATTCATGAGGAATAGAGCTTCTGCCTGCAGAACAGAAGGTTCTGCTGTTTTATTTATTTCTTTAAAAATGTTTGGCACTGTCACAATTTTGACACATTAGAGGAGTGTTGGAAGGCTTACATAGACTGATGTATCATGGAGTAAGAAGAACCAGGAAAACAATATGCACAATGACTAGGACAATGGAAATGGGAAAAAAGGAGTTTTGAAACTAGACACTATGCAATCATAATGACCAAACTTAGCCCCTAAGAAGAGGAGAAAAAATATGTATTCCTTTCTTCTTCATAGATGCAAAAGTCTGTGGGTGTAGAATATTACATGTGTTATCAGTCACAGTTGATGTGTTGGTTGATTTTCCTACTTTCTTTTCTCTTTCTTTTCCTTTTTATCTTTTGTTAACAAGGGATGGTTCACTGGGTAGGGGAGATATAGTTGGAAACAAAGGCGATTTTGAGAGGGAAAAGCAAAGATAGCAATAAAAACAAGATAAATAAAATACTAAAATATATCCTGCAAAAGGAAAGTCATTTTCCGAATACCAAAAAAAAAAAAAAAAGCCTCACCTTTTTTGTGAAAAAGGGTCTGTGGCCTGTAAGGAAGGACAAAAGTACAGCTCTCAGGTGTGAATGTAAGGGAATTGTCACATCTCTGAGCTTCCGGGAAGAGTGTGCAGATGAAATCCCCACTGCTGGTGTTCTGTACCTCCGCCAGCTGACAGAAAGTGTTTTCCTGAGCACAACCTACAGACAGACAAGAGGTATTTGGTTTTGAAAACTGCTTTTATCTGACTGGCTTCTGTCTCCCTCTACCCCTGGTCCAAAAACCTACCCAGGGAGTCAGTGAATCAATTAGATCAGTTAGTCAGCCAACATTGGCTACAAACATCTTTGCAAATCAATTCTTTGATTTTTGTCAACTTTTCATCATTACATGCAAAAAGAAGTTTCCAAAAACTGCTCAGCCCAATTGTCTGACAGGGAAATTGAAGGTTACGGAGTAAGATTTTAAAACATTGTTTGAGCTACCCTGAACTCGGTGACAGCTCACCAGTAAATGTATTTCTTCAATCCATTTCATCTTTAGTTTACATTATCACGTCAAGTTCGGGCAACTCTGGGGTTCCCCAAACTTTCTGTGGGTAGGACTTGTTTTTTTTAAACTTTATTTCTTTGAACCTTTGAGATCAGTGAGGAAAGAGATGGAAGGTATTATCTACGGGGAGTTCCTGAGTGGGTGGGGGAACCCAGGGATTCCCCATCTGCATTACCTTCCTCCCCCTGCCTTAGTGTCTAAAAGATTAAAGGGGGGGAATGGAATCAAGGGTGATGGGGAAGCCCCTGTGGAAGAGGGATGCCAATAAGCCACAAAGAGTTAGAAGGAAAGATGAGTGATAGCTACAGTTGCCCTCATGAAATTAATCCAGTTGCAACCTCTCCTATATCCTTAACAAATTCCATTTTACATTGTATTATTGGAGTAGATAAACTCATATATTTTAGAATGTAAGCTCTATTAGGGTATAGATAATGTCTTTCATCTTTATATGGCCCCAGTACCTAACTTAGTGCTCTCTACTCAATCAGAGAAATAAGCATTTATGAAGTGCCCACTATATGCCAGGCACTGTGCTAAGGACTAGGGATACAAAGAATGGCAAATGGCAGTCCCCGCTCTCAAGGAGCTCAGAGTTTAATGGAGGACATAACATGAGAACAATTATGTACAAATAAGCTATATTCAGGATGAAATTGGAAATAGGATGCTTAGTACATAGTTGCTGAATTGAATTGATTTGTTCATGATTGACCAATTGGGATCACTTGGTGCACCTTATTAGGAAATTTGATTATGTTCACTTTAGGACTTGATTATTCATTGACTGCTTAATGTCTGTTTTATATACTTATGGAACACCTAGGATTTGAGGGGCACTGTGATAGACATTGTGAGAGAAAAAAAAAAGATGTAGAAGGCATAGTTCCTATAGTCAAAGAGCTTCCAGCCTACTTGGAGAGATGGGGAAAATGAACAACAAAAGGCATAACATGGTAAGTGCCCAATTAGTGGTATGGCCAGCATGTGCTCTAGGGGTTGAGAGGAAGGAGGAATCACTGTCGGGTGGGGTGATGAGGGAGGAGGTAGGTAGGGTTTGAGCTAGGTGTGGATAAATAGGTCTGGTGGTGGAAAGAGGGAAGGATATTCTAGACATTGAAGAGTAAAAGTGAGGGAGTGATGTGTTTGTGGCGTTTGAGGGCACAGTAAGGAGAACAATTCCTTCAACATAATTCTTCAACCTACTGCATCCTCAAACCATCTAGTACAGGGCTGAATATGGTTTGAATGGAATCTTGTATGTCTTACAATAGATTCTATGAATAAGCTAGGGATGTCTGATTCTACAATTGGCAAGGAGGCTCATTGCATCAGAGATTTCTTACGAGAGAGACACCACAGATTTGCCTGCTGGACTGAAAACTGAAGCTTGAAGAGCCAGTACTGTTGGCTGGGCATAGTTCTGTTTCCATCTATGAGAACAAGCTCTGTGTCCACTTGGGAGAAAAGCTCCATTGTTGAATCTGAAAAAGAGAAACTGTGTTGAAAGGAAACTGTATGTGGACTTTAATCTAAAATCACAGGACTTTTAGATAATATTTATAAAATACTTAGCACAGTGATGCTTATTCCCTTCCCATTTTAGAACTGGAAGGGACCTTGCTTTGTAGAATGTTAGAACATCCACCAGAATGTTCAAGCTAGAATCAATCAAATAAGAAGCATTTTAATCATTAGGGGGCAGATAGAGTACTGGACTTGGGATCTCAGGAAGGCCTTAGAATCCTATCTCAGACTTTTAGTAACTGTGTGCCCTTGGGCAAGTCACTCAACTCCTCTAAACCTCAGTTTCCTCATCTGTAAAATGGGAATAATAATATCAGCTACTTCCTAGAGTTGTTTTGTGAAGATAAAACGAGATATTTGTAAGGTGCTTTGCAAGCCTTAATGTGCTATATAAATGCTATAATAATTATTATTATTACTATCATTATCATTAAATTATATAGATCTAAACCTACATCTTAGAGGCAATTTGGTCCAACTCCTTAATTTTACAGATGAAGAAACTTAGACTCCAAGAAGTAAGGTGACTGATTCAAGGTCATAGAGAAACTAAGTGTCAGAGTCAAGAATATAAACCCAGGTCCTCAGTCTCAAAATCCATCAGTCTTTGCACTGTCCCATACTGCCTGTCATTTATTAAATGCCTATTATTTGCCAGGCACTGTGCTAGATACTGGGGATATATGTATAAAAATCAAAGTCCTTTTCCTCAAAAAGCCTACAACAGAACCTTATTAACAGGGAATGTCAGAACACAGAATAGTAGAGCTGGAAGGAATCTTAGAGACCATCTAGTTCAGTTTCTTTATTTTATATACAGGGAAACTGAGTCCCAAAGAAGACTTGCAAGAGTCACACAGAAGGATAGACATCTTCCAGGGAGACATCATTTTTGAGTGCCAGCACATTCTACCAGAGAGTATATCCATTCCCAGTCTAAATGCATGTTTCCAAAAGGGTGAGAAAACACCCTGAACTTTGGCAGTTGTAAGATTGTGGTACTGGAGATGAGAGGCTCAAAAGGACTATAATGAGGGGGGTACAATGAGAATGTCTAAAATAGAGCCCTTGTTTGTAGAGACTTCCTTTCATCCTTTTATCTGCATAGAAAATAGGTTAAGAGTATTAGCTAACCAACTTCTGAAACATCCTAGGGCCTGGCTCTCAATTCACTCAGAACCCAGATCCCAGTAGTGCCCCTGAGTTCTTTGGATCTGTGTAAATCTTTCCCTGGACCAGTTTCCACTTTCTACAAAACAGACTTATAAACATCAACTATTGAGTTAGTCAGTCAGTCAATTAATATTTATTAAGCACTTAAAATGTACCAACTACAGTGTTTACTAACATCACAAGAAACAGCTTACAAATGGAAGCAAGTAACAACAAAAATGACAATTGAAAATTAACAGGATCATAGAATGTCGAACTGGTTCTCTAAGAGACAGAAGGTTAGAATTAATTAGCACATGGAATGTTAGGAAAAGGTCCTTAGAACATAGGGTGTAAGAACATAGTACAAAGGACGTTAGAGATGAAAGGGCCCTGAGAACTAAAGAGGGTTAGAATACAAAACTTGACATTTTACAGCTGAAAGGGTCCTTAGATATTAGAACGTCAGAAAGTAGAACAGCAGGGCCAGAAGGGACTTTGCTGTTGTTATTCAGTCGTTGCTGACTCTTTGTGACCCCATTTGGGGTTTTCTTGGGGAAGATACCAGAGTGGTTTGCCATTTCCTTCTCCAACTCATCTTACAGATGACAAAACTGAGGCAAATGGTATTAAGTGACTTGCCCAGAGCCACACAGATAATGTCTGAGGCTGGATTTGAACTCAGGCCTTCTTGACTCCAGGCCTAAGGTTCTTTCCACTATACCACCTAGCTGCTGAAGGGACAATTTGTCATGGGATCACAGACTTAGAACCAGAAAGGACCTTAGAAGCCCTCCAGCTCAATCCCCTAATTTTACAGATGAGGAAATTGAGTCTCAGGTTGGTTCTTTCCCAAGATCACAATGCTAATTAATCACAAAGTCAGGACCAGGATGCTCATTTCCTGACTCCCATGCCCAGTTCAGTGTTCCTTCTACCTCAAAATAGCAGCAATGCAGCGTTACTGTAAATCTCCTCGTCTCATACCTGTGAAATTGAGTGGGCAGAAAAATGAGCACGGGATGAATCAAAAGTTAATTCAAGAAGCTGGGTCTCTTGATTTTCAGTCAAATGTTCCACTTGAGACTGTCAAACATTGAATATGTGTTTGCCTTCTCAAAAATGATTACCACGTGTTTTCTTTTGAAAGATAAGGCAGAAGCCTTCTTCCTTATCAAGATCCAGACTTGTACCTTCTCCTCTTTGCTCTCCCCACAGAGAGAGGTACCCTTTTTTGCACTGCTCTGATTATCAGGGAGGCCCCGCTAGCTGCAGCAGAGACCCCTGGGGGAGGATATGAGGGGAAAATGGGGATAGTACCCAGATATTGCCAGGGTCAAAAAAAAGAAGCAAAAAATGAGAAAGATTTTCTCCTTAATCACATTATTGTTTTGAGATCCAGGAACGTAATTGGCTGAGAAGATGCAAAATTGGTTAGGTTTTGTATTCTCTCCATTTCTCCCTCTCTAAGCCTCTGCCACCAACTTGCCAAATTGAACTCCTCCATAGGAGGAGATGCCAGATGAATGCAAGAGATACTTCCCTCTTGCAGTGAAGGATTTTCCATCCAACACGCTGCTAGATGGTTCATAGTTGGGGCTTCAATATTTGAATGGATCTCCTCAAGTATCTATGAAGAGCCAATCTCTTAAATGCTTGATCCACGGGTACTCACTGGCACTATTGGCTATTTAGTGCTAGCGAAAGCCTTTGGGCACATTTCTAGCTCTCATTTCTGTTTCCACACAAGCTTCAGAAAGAAGAGATCAGCCGGCAGCAGATAAATCAAAACACTGATTGGGTGCTTTTTAACCCACGTCAAATCAGTGTTGTCATATTCAATCTTTACAACAGCACTATAAGGTAGGGGCTACCATTACCCCCATCTTACAAATAAGAAATCCAAGACTAAAAGAAATTAAATGGCCTGCCCAGGGTCATACAACTAGTAAGTGTCTAAGGCCAGATTTGAACTCAGGTCTCTAAGAAGCCAAGTGCACACTCTTTGCACTGTGCCACACATCCTGTATACAGCTGGCTTTGTATATAACTGTTTACATGCTGTCTGCTCCATTCGATTGTAAGCACTTTGAGGGCAGGACTGTCTTTTGCCTCTTTTTGTATCCCCAGTGCTTGGCATGTAATAGGCAACATTCCAATAAATGTTGACTGATTGATTAAGAAGGCTTAGAAAATAGAAGGTCTCTTTCATCATTGACCTTCTGGTTTAAAAAGGGGAAATACACCTCCTTGTAGTTTCCACCCATTGTTCCTCATTCCATCTTCTAATTCAAAATAGAATGAGTTGAGTAACTCTAATATCTGGCAACCATTCCTATATTTGCATACAGCAACTCTGCCTCTCCCACAAATCCTTATTCTCTATAGGCTAAAAATCCTAGCTCCTTTGACTGATCTTGGCATGACACCCCCTCGGACGTCACCCATCCATTCAGGTGCAGAAGCCATGTAAATAATTTTGCTTGAGTGTTTTCCTTTGTATAAAAAAGGGCTCAGTGGAGATGGAGGTACTACATACAGTAACTGCTATCACATAAAATGCATAAATGTTATTTCCCCACTAAAGAATCAATAGTCTATGTGTGTAAAAAATCCACCACCAAACTATGGTTACCTGGTATTAGTTGAGTAACCCGTCCTTGAGCCGCATCCCGGCTACATTCTGTAGACTTTGCCTGAGTAGCCACATCTGAATCTAGAAGAAAAGAGAAATCAGTCACTCTGGTTCCATGCAGGAAACAGCAAGGATAAGCTGTCTAAACCACCAACTAGGATTCTAGTTTTAGCAGCCAGGTAGCACAGTGGATAGAGTGTTAGGCTTGGAGTCAAAAAGAGCTGAGTTCAAATCCAGGCTTGACTACTTTTTAATTCTATGATCCTGGGCAAATCACTAAACTTCGTTTGCCTCAGTCTCTTCAACTTAGAAATTGGGGATCATACCTCACAGGACATTTGTGAGGATCAAATCACAGAATATTATAAGGTACTTTATAATTATAAAGCACAGTGCTTGGCACATAGTAGGTACTTAACAAATACTTGTTCCTTTCCCCATCTTCCCCTTTCCTAATATTAAAAGTCAATCAACAAATATCTATTAAGCACTTGCTATGTGTCAGGTACTATGTTAAAAATTGGGGATTCAAAGAAAGGGGAAAAAAGTCTCAGCCTTCAAACAGTACATCCAGCTTTACATGAATACATTCATGGATCTTTTTAGGCAATCGGGGTTATGTGACTTGCCCAGGGTCACACAGCTAATAAGTGTCAAGTGTTTGGTCTGAGGCCAGATTTGAACTCAGGTACTCCTGACTTCAGAGCCAGTGCTCTATCCACTGCGCCACCAAGCTGCCCTCTCAGTCATGGATCATTGAAGTATCAATCTAAGCAATGGGTGCCAGAACGTTCTGAGTCACATAAAATGAGAGGAGAAATTAGGTAAGTAAGGTAGAACAAGCAGATAGAATTCTGGGCTTGAGGTCAGAAAGGCCAGGATTAAAATCCTGCTTTACATACACACAGTCAACAAGCATTTATTAAACACCCATTCACTATGTGCCAGCGCTACAAAAACTATCTGCCCCTGGGCAAGTCACTTACTTCTCTGACCCTCAGTTCCCAAAAAGTGGATAGCAATAGTGTTTGTGAGAATCAAATGGGATATCATATGTAAAGTGCTCTGCAAACCTATTACGTAAATGTCAACGAGTTCCACCAAAGACATTGGCTGGCTGAACTGTCAGTCAATAGCAAGTCAGCCAGTGAGGATTTTAATTGACTGTTACATGATGGGTCTGACTGATCTGCGTTCAGACAGCCTGTGGCATGAGGGACACAAGAATGTTTGAGGATGTTCTGTGGGTTTTCCCTTCTCTCTGATCTTTGAAAGGAATGATTATTAATAACCAATATCTTGGGGAGATTCAGAGGTCTCCACTTTTTCTAATTCCTCATTTAAAAAAGTTCAGCTTTCTTGAAGGACATTACTGATAATGAGATTGCTTTGATTCTCCCCATCTTGGTCAGACTCCAACCCAACTTTGCAAGAAATTTAATGTAGGATAGGGAAGTCCATTGTGTTCTACTCAAGCTTTGAGGGAAGACAGATCCTTTTCTCTTGACAGCCCAAGGCTGAGGGTGGTCTGAGTACAGATAATTCCTCTGTCCAGGGGTCACTCTAAGCCCCTTACTGAACACCTAAAGATATATAAGCTATGAGCTCACCACCATCATTGTCTCTAGTCTAAGAAAGACTACCAAATGACCAGCCTTTTATTAATAACCTGCTGATCTTATTAATAAAATGATTAAATTACCCAGAAACTATGTCTCTCAAACCTTTTTAAATGTCTCATCTTTCTTCTAATGTTTCAACATAAAGAGAGCTTTCTGGCCTATCTCTGTGAGAATGAAAAATGTTTGCTACTAACTTTGGCATACCTGAGAAACAATAGACAGTATTCAGATCCAAGACCACCATATTAAATGGTGTCTTCCTTTACATCCAATAAATAATGGGAAAAAGGAAGAAGATTTTTCTTGGGACCAAAACATCAGGAAATAAGAAACTGCTCCTGTATTCTCCAGCATCATTATTGCCCACGTAGAGTGATTGGAGAAGGTCCTAGGCAAAACCCTTTGAAATGCAAGGACCATCTTAAAAATGCAAATCTACCAGTGCCTGGGATCAGGTGTGTGCTGGAGCCAGGGGAATGCCCTCCTTAGAACAGATTGTTAAAGTTTCAGGGCAAGCACATATGCTTTGGAAATCTCCAAATGCTACAGATCTGGGCTTGATTTATTGTTTTGCTGTTTGTCTAGATTTAAGAAAGTAATGGAGAACATGTTAATAACAAATTAAACTTAAAAGTGTGTTGTATGAATTTTTTTTTTCAGAGAGCCGGTTATTAAACGGTACCAACACAACTCCTGCCCGAGATACACTTTAAGCCATTAGCAGAAAACATCTTGGCCTTTTGTACTGGGGGTGTGCCAAAGATGAGGTCTGCCAAGAATAGGATGCCCCCGAGAGAGTGGGATGAGGGGTTTAGGGGAGCCAGGAGCCAAGAAGGAAGAATCAGAATGGGATTCAATGAATGCTGATGGGGGAGGTGAGCAGGTTTCAAAGACAGAGATACAGGCCTAAAGTATTGGTTCCCAATCTTCTTTGTTCTGCAGACTCCTTTTAATAGCAACAAAAAAATGTCATTGTGAATAACCAGAGTAATTTAATACACTATTCATAGTATTCTTTTAGATTTATTAGTTAAGTGCTTACAATAACTAAAATGATAACAAACCTATAATACTTAAGCATACTGACGCCTATTGTCACAAGGAAAATATATATTTGTAACATATTTGCGTAATTATTTACTGCTTAAGGAGCCATTAAAGAATGTTTAGCCTGAACTCCTTGGACCATTGGGGAATTCTTGAACCACTGGGCTAAAGAAAATGCTTAGTGTCCTCACAATTTCTGTCAGGGCTTCAGGCCTGACTCACAGCATAAGCTATCCTCTCTCCCATCAGGAATGGCCTCAAGTGAGAACAGACAAGAACTATTGATGCTAAAAGCAAACTGCCTCATGGGATTTGGCTATGTCTACTTTAGGAACTCCAACTGCTAGTAGGTACAGTTTTTATCTCTCCGTGACTTAGCAAGTGGCCAATTTTGTCTACTTGGTTCCTTTCTTGTGTTTCCAAATCCTTTTTAATTTCGATGTCTTATCTGCTAGATAAGCAAAGGCCCTCCTATTTCTTTGGCTAGTCTTCGTAGCAGTGCACTTACTCTTGAGGTGAGCAGAGTATCCAGTGGAGACATATAGGGTAGTGAATGCATGATTTAATAAATGCATTTGCCCCCTCACATAAAAAACATGTTAATGATGTCAATCTATAGCTAGTGGAACACCATTGCTTCTGAGGAACCAAAAATAAGTAAAACACAGAGGACCACAGAGAGATGCATCGTGGGAATGAGCAGGATGCAATATTTAACCAATTAGGTACAGGAGTAAAAGATGTCATGAAGGAATTGTATGATACGAAAAGAGGATGGGCTGGGTATGTGGCAAGAGTGAGAGATGACAGGTGGACAATTAGGTGGTGTCCTTGTGATTTCTGGAGAAACTGAGGAAGACCTCCAGAACATTGGGTGGGGAATGTTTGGGAGATAATGGACAACAGTTACATAGGGTGGGCAGGTGGGGATAAGTTGCAATCCATAGGATTTTGGGGGCCTTCAAATCAGTGAGATTACAAATTGATTTGAGTATTGGTCCTCTCACACAAAACTCACCTTTCCAGAGATAAACCTCTTGGAAACTGGTAAAGAGACTTGGGTCTTCTTCAAGAGGCTCTGAACCTGGAAACAAAACAAAATAAAATTTCAAAAAGTTAAGATTGATTTTCACCTCCGTGGTTATCCTCATCCGCATTCTCATCCTCATCATCCCCATCACCATAACCATTACTATCACCACCACTTCACAAATCAGATAGTGAAACCTGTACCTCAACAGGAATTGTTGTTCAGTTGTTTCAGTTGTGCCCAACTCTTTGTGACCCCATTTGGGGTTTTCTTGGCAGAGATATTGGAGAGCTTTGCCATTTCCTTCTCCAGCTCATTTTACAGATCAGGAAACTGAGGCAAACAGTGTTAAGTGACTTGCCCAGGTTCACAAAGCTAGTAAGTATCTGAGACCATATTTGAAACTCACAAAGATGAGTTTTCCTGACTCCAGGCCTGGCAACTCTATCTGCTGCACTATTATACCCATTTAACAGATGAGAAAACTTAGGCTCAGAGATGTGACTTGGCCAAGAATACATAAGCTATGAAGCGGTGTTTCTGGAACTGCAGCCCAGCTCTTCTTAGTTCAGTCTTCCATCCATTGTCCCCATGTTGCTTCTCCTGTTCCTTTCACCAAAGTGCTTTGAAAAAGTTGAACTAGAAGCTTCTCTGCCCCTTAAATAGCTTCTGAATAGAGGTACCAGCTCTTCTTCCAGCTGCTGCTAATTTCCAGTGTGCAGTATTCTACTTAACATAGAATTGAAAGGCAAACATGGTCTGAATCACCCAAACCAAGCCTTTTCCCAGCAGTGCCTATAACAGGTGTGTTTATTACCACAGACCCTGCTTTGGGCCACAGACAGACCACAATTTCTGGGTAAGGCCCCCTGGACAATAAAGCAGAGGGTAATTTTAGATGCCACTCTTAGAGGTAAGCCTGGAGGTGAAGGGAATGACAGTGTCCAGAAAATACAGTAACTCCATCTCATCCATCCCTTACGCCTCACTTCCTTCCTTCTTTTATAGATTTTCCCCTGACTAGATTGTCAGCTCCTTGAGGACAAGGACTGTCTTTTACCTCTTTTTGTAACCCAAGCACTTAGCATAGTGCCTGACACATAGAAGACTTAATAAATGTTTGTTTAATGACTGATTTTCCAAAAGACCTTTCTGTATGGTCTTAAGTTGCATCACTTCTCTAGGACTCATTTGCTTCATCTGTAAAATGAAAGACTAATAACTTCTAAGATTTTTTTCTGATTCTATTATTAATTATAATTATAAAAGATTAATGGCAGCATTGTGGCACAGTGGATAGAGCACCAGGCCTGGAGACAGGAAGACCACAGTTAAAATCTGGCCTTAGACACTTACTAGCTGTGTGACCATGGGCAAGTCACTTGACCCTGTTTGCCTCAGTTTTCTCATCTGGAAAATGAACTAGAGAAGGATGGCAAATAACTCCAGTATCTTTGTCAGGAAAACCCCAAATATGGTCACAGAGAGTCAGACGTGACTGAAAAATGACTAAAGAACAACATAATAGGAATATAAATATAATACATTAATAACATATCATAATTCTATGATTCTTTGAAGAGGTGTTTCCAGAGACCTCCAGTCAGAAATGATCTTTCCCTTCTTGAACTTCCATTCCCATGCTTCATTCTGCATTTTATTCACTGCAATAACATTGCAACAGATTAAACGAACACATAATGATTTACTATGTAGCAGGTTCTGAGAAACACAGAGACTACTTAAGATACAAGTCCTGCCTTCAAGAAGCTTATGGTCTATTAAAAGATGACACCCATACTGTAATAAGAGTTGTAATAAACAATGTTACATTAAGTACATCAAAGAACTCCAACACAAAGTCCTACTTGTGGTCGGGGGTGGGGAGAGTGTGGAATCATATAGCAACTGAAAGAATAAGAAAGGCATGTGAAGGGATTCAATAGACATAGAAAACATTCTATGCACAGAAAATAGCCTGGACTGGTCTAGTATGGCTGTAACCTTGAGAGGAGAGAAGGAATATGAGCCGGGTTTGGAAAGGTTGGCTTCACTTTGGTTCTAAATGATTATAAAGGATTATAAAGTGTGAACTTTCTTCAGGAGGCCGTTTTATTGTTGTTATTCAGTTATTTCAGTCATGTCCAACTCTTCATGACCCCATTTTGGGTTTTCTTAACAAAAATACTGGAGTGGTTTGCCATTCCCTTCTCCAGCTCATTTTATAGATGAGGGAACCGAAAAATAGTGTTACATGAGTTGACCAAGGTCACATAGCTAGTAAGTGTCTAGGCTGGATTTGAACTCAGGAAGATTGAATTCCTGATTCCAGGCTGAGATCCAGTAACTGAGCAGGTATGAGAGGTGAAGACAAGCTAAAGTTAAGGTCAAGGTCACAAATATGGTAAAATGAACAAATCATGATGCCACAGATAATAGTAAAGTCAGGATGAATAGGTTAAGGAGTCAAGACAATTCACTTGGGTTTGGACATATTAAGTCTGATCATCCAGACAGAGATGTTCTGAAGGAGGTTGAATATGAGAGTCCAGGGGTCAGGAGAGGTCAGCACCAGATGCACAGCTGTAAGAGTCCCTATAGGATCCATTGGAGTTGACAGTAAAAGAGTAAGAGTGACATGACTATATCAATAGAGAAGAAAGTTGTTTAGCAGCAGAACAAGGTGTAGATTGAAGAGAGAAAATAGAACTAAAAGAACAATGAGGAGCCTATTTCTAGAATTCAGGTGGTTGATAATAAGAGCAAGAAGCAGAATGATGGCAGAGGGAAGAGTGAAGAAGGAGGGGAAAGATAAAGGAAGGATCACAGGCTAATAAATTAGAGCTAGATTAGAGATAATCTAGTTTTCTCTCTCTCTCTTTGTGTGTGTGTGTGTGTGTGTGTGTGTGTGTGTGTGTGTGTGTGTGTG